GTGGCGAAACATATGTGCGTGAAGATTGTGAAAAATATAAAATCCGCGATTATGTAAGTTCTGCAGAAATTGATCCAAACGCTTGTGACGATCATAAGTTATGCAGCGCTGATCTATCACAAGGTATCTGTGTGGATATGGCAGCCGATCAAGGGAACTATCTCTGCAAATGTGATCCAATGTTTACAGGAACGAACTGCGAAACGCGTAAGATTCAACAGTGTTGGAATTTGTTGTTTTCAATTATTGCTTTGTACATATTTTTTGTTCAGCTGTATCTGGCCCTTGTAATGTCAACCCTTGCAAAAATGGAGGAGTATGTATACCTGACACTGTCTTGAACACATATACTTGTCAATGCGCAGAGGGTTACTGCGGCAAAACCTGCCAATGTAAGAAAATTATACATATTTTGAAAAGAGGAGATTGATTAATTTTGCAAAATTCAAGATGCATTCCAATGTAGCAGCAATCCCTGCTTACATGGCGGAACATGCGTTGAAAACTACGATGGCACTCGCAGATGTGAATGTCTCGACTTCTATAGCGGGACCAATTGCGAAGGTGGGTTGCAGCAAAAGCTGAATTCCCTAACCTACTGTAAGTTTCTGGAATAAGATCTATCCATATAGCAGAATTTTCAGATGTTAACACATGTGCTTACAATAACAAATGCGTGAATGGTACTTGTGATTCTATAGTGAATGGTGTTGTACCCGGCAGCATCTGCACTTGCAATCCGGGATACACTGGAGAATATTGTCAAGAAAGTGAGTACAGTAGGAAGTGAATATAAAGTAAGAGGAAGAAGTAGAAAAAGTAAATATAAACATAGTGAGGAGAATAAGTAATGTCAATTTATACGAAAGTCACACATTTCATAAATCTAGGAAAAACCATTCGACGTCGTATGAGTCTTTGTTGGTAGAGGCCGGATAAATTATCATACAGTACAAAACTATTTACAGCTACTGCAAGAAATGCATTAACTTTGTATAAACTACGTTTTTTTCTTGGGATT